AGAGATCCGCCTGCCTGCCTCCAGTTTTCCCAAGACCTAAGTGAGTGAGCAGTGCTATGGGAGGTTAAGAGAGGGTTGGCTCTACACCCACTCACAGCACCGGCTCCCAGGGCCTCAGTCTCCTCATTCTTTTGTTATTGCCACTCCTGTTACATCTCAATACATAGTTCAGACTGGCCTTGAGCTGATTTTTAGGGTCCAGGCTGGTCTTGAACTCAAGCTCCTTTTGCCTCATCTTCTTAATTACTGTTACAGGTAAGAGTCACCACACAGGACTAATTATCTTATTCCTAAAACAGGACCCATACTTTCTTATCATCCTTTGTTTAGTAAAGAACAAATATGAAGCAAATGGCACAGGTCAGTGGTGGTGGGAACCATTTATCATGGTGTTTAGTTAAAGCACACTTTGGCCTCCACACAGCTCAATCCACTAATTCTTAAACTACAATAAAGCCTCGTGCAGTTTGCAGCAAGCTCTCGAATCCGCCTGGTGATTGGGGTGACCGAGAACGTGTCCTGGGACCCCGGATACTTGAGTTTTCGGGGGTCTAACACACCCACTTCCGTTCTCTTTCCCGCTGTTCCTCTGAAGGGCAGACAGGACTTCCTGTCTCACCACCTCTCCCTTCTCTTCTGCCCTGTCTCTGTGTCTCTTTACTTTATTTTCTTACCTCCCCCTCAATAAAAGTTTCAATATGAGTCACATCTACAGGTCTGTTTCCCCATCCACCACTGTCCATCTCCGGCCCCGCCCGTCCCAGCGCAGCAATGGGGACCTGCCACTCTCGGCCCCAGCCCATTATTCTTTATTCCTAACAAGGCTCATGCCACCAGTTTATCTTGCTGTTTATTTCTCTTTACCTTGTTCTTCTGGACTTGCTTCACTTTCGGATTCTTTGGCTACAAAGATGTCTTTGATAGAAATTAGGTCATTTTTCAAGAGTTCTAGCTTTTCTCCATCCAGCGATGCTAAAAATGACTGAACCTGAAAAAGAAAAAAAAAATAGGTCAGCTTAATGGTCATCATTTCTTCTCATAAGCATGGATCAGGCTGGCCTCGAACTCACAGAGATCCACCTGCCTGCCTCCAGTTTTCCCAAGACCTAAGTGAGTGAGCAGTGCTATGGGAGGTAAAGAGAGGGTTGGCTCTACACCCACTCACAGCACTGGCTCCCAGGACCTCAGTCTCCTCATTCTTTTGTTATTGCCACTCCTGTTACATCTCAATACATAGTTCAGACTGGCCTTGAGCTGATTTTTAGGGTCCAGGCTGGTCTTGAACTCAAGCTCCTTTTGCCTTATCTTCTTAATTACTGTTACAGGTAAGAGTCACCACACGGGACTAATTATCTTATTCCTAAAACAGTACCCACACTTTCTTATCATCCTTTGTTTAGTAAAGAACAAATATGAAGCAAATGGCACAGGTCAGTGGTGGTGGGAACCATTTATCATGGTGTTTAGTTAAAGCACACTTTGGCCTCCACACAGCTCAATCCACTAATTCTTGACCTTGTGTAATTTATATTCCTATGCCTTGGCTTTATCTATGAAATGGGGACCATTTATATCTACCTCATAAGGTCACTTTGATCATTAAAGCAAAGAACTGACTTAAAACACTGTGAGGCTCAATAAATGAAATATTGAACACACACACATACGAATATATACTTACGAGACATGACTTACATTGAGTTTACAAAAATGCCCAAGATACATTTTCCTTTTCTGAGAGCTAAGTGTCTAGAGTAGTTTCTCAACTGGTGGGTTGCATATCAGATATCCTGAATATCAGATATTTACATTACAATTCGTAACCCAGCGCAGAATTACCGTTAGGAGGCAGCGGTGAAATAATTTTATGGTTGGGGGGTCACCACAACATGAGGAGCTATATTAAACGGTCTCAGTGTTAGGAAGGTTTCTAAAAATGCGCAGAGGCAGGAAGCCCAAGTCAACCAGTATCAGCCATAAGGGGTGTGGGGGAAGGGCACAGCAGGGTCACAGAGGGAACTGTCACTCTGCCCTTGGGGGAAGGAAAGGAAATGTGCAGGGAGAGCTTGGCAGAGAAGGCTCTGCTTGGACTGACATCGCCCCTGCTCACCTTCAGAGTCTCTTTCTACAGTACCCTCTGTGTACACTTCAAAACAAGTACAGATGGCCAACCATCCTCTGAAGACTAATTTGAATTTACAAATTGGTCACAGGGCATGGAATATCATATTTAAAAACGAGGTGTGACTGTAGAGCTGTAAGTTTTTGCTTTTACATTTTGCAAGCCAGATTCTTGCTCTGGAAGGGAGCACCAGCGGAGGAGCTCAGTCCTCCCTGGGATAGGTTTCCATGTTCACATGGTAGTAGATCAACACATCAGGCTAAGAGTCAGCCAGGGCATCCAGGCTGACAGACTCCATTTTCCCAAGTGTTTACGCTCAATGGGTGCTGTGCACCTGTCCAAGGCTCTGGGAGGAAGCTTGGCAGGAAATCAACACAGAACCCATTAGCCACGCAGTTTGGCAGGTAGCAGCAAATGCCCCCTGCTCTATGGCTCTGGGCCAGTCCTTCTGGCCTTGGCCTTCTGAGAGCCTTCATTTTACTCGCATACTCCTGTTTCTCCCTCTGAGTTACTCCATTCTGCCACTGTGATATGCACTGAATAGTAGTCGGATTCAGGAATAAATAATAAGCACTCATGCGTTCTTCAACACCAGAGGAATGCTGGTTGACTGCTTGGCACTAGGTGGAGTATTGTTTGGGTACACATGAGGGTACACATGGTGTCTTATACCCATTTTCCATGAAAAGGAAAAAAAAAAAACAAACCGAAACAACTGAGTGTAATGAAAACAAATGATTGGTTTTTCTCATTCATCATGAATTGCTGCACTGCCAGGTCTGTCTTAGAACCAATCTGACCCTATTTATTATTGTGTGTGTGTACGGTGATGGCGTGGTGTGGGTGTGCACGGCACGATGCGTGCATGAATAGTTATGTTCGCCAGGTCTGTCTTAGAACCAATCTGACCCTATTTATTATTGTGTGTGTGCACGGTGATGGCGTGGTGTGGGTGTGCACGGCACGATGTGTGCATGAATAGTTATGTTTTTTTTGTGGGTGACTGGGTCTGAACTCCAGTCCTCATGATTGTGTAGCAGGCACTTTTAACCACTGAGCCATCTCTCTAGCACCAAGTCTTCCTTTCTTTTCTCCTGTGGTGCCTCAATCTCAGCCAGGGAAGTAACAGTGGATATAATGAGCATCCGTTCTTGTCCCCAGCTTTCAAATGGGAACGTCCTCTCTTCTTTTTCGGGTTGATGGGACTCAGAAGACCCAAAGGCATCAGAGGATGAGGACGTGACATCCTTTTAGACCTAGACACAGGGGTCCACAGGACACGTGGGATGTTTCCCCTTCTAGGGCTCTCTCCAGGTTACTGGGTGGGCCTCTTTCCCAAGCTCAACTGAGGCCAGTGTGAACCCAGGGGATGACTAGAGGTGGTTGCTTGCAAGGGGAGAGGGTATGGGTGGAGCTGGAACAACCGAATCAGAGTCTCGATTACCCATGCACAGCAGTTTGAGGTAAAAGACAGCTGGAGACTGAAGGGGCAGACTGGAGGATGGAATGGAAATTCAGGGAGACTGAGAATTCCAAGGGGGAACTCAGCCTTCCAGACCAGGATGAAAGTTTGTCAAGGGAGAAAGACAAGACTGATTTCTTTAACCGTTTGTTTAGAAGATTTTTAACTTTTAAGGATTGGCACATGTAAGGTTGCCATGCAAATAGAGGCAACTTAGTTAAATTTGTGTTTCAGACACACAATGAGTATTTTCTTAGTGTTAAGTGTGTCTGGAATATTTCATAGGATGTATTTATTGAGAGTTAAATTTAGCAAGTCATCCTATGAGTTTTTTCTATTGTCTGTTTCTGAAGTTGTTGAGACTTGAACTCAGGACCCCATATATACTAGGTAAACACCTTACCCACCCCCTCCCAACTGCAAAGGCCTGAAGCCCTTTTCTTATTCACTTTATTTTCCACGTTTGGGGTGTGTGTGTGTGTGTGTGTGTGTGTGTGTGTGTGTTGAGTGCAGAGATTTTTCTCCCTCTGCCATGTGGGTTCCAGGGATCAGACTCAAGTCATCAGTTTTGGTGGCAAGTGCCTTCACCCAATGTGTCATCATACTAGCCCTTATTTTTAAGTTGAAATTGAATTTAAATAATTTATTTTAGGTGCTGGGGACTGAACCCAGGGCCTTCTGTGTGATCTAACCCTGAACTTTATCCTCAGTCATTTTTTAAATTCTTTTCATTCACTTTTTAATCTGAGGCAGAGTCGCCTCAAGGCGGTCCTTTAATTTTCATTCACTTTTTAATCTGAGGCAGAGTCGCCTCAAGGCGGTCCTTTGTAGCCTCACTCTGTAGCCCAGACAAGCATTGAACTTGAAATCATTCTATTTCAGCCTCCTCAATAGCTGGGATTCAGGCCCATGCCACCAGGCCCATACTTGTATCTATGGGGCACAATGTGGTGACCTGACATGTGTGTACACTAGGGGATGAGTGTATCATGCCAGGGAACACATCTATGAACACATTGCCTCACACCATTTTTGGGGTGAGAATGTTTCAAGTTTATGCTTTCAACAGTTTTGAAATATGTGCATTTCCATTACCCCCAGTCACCATGCTACAAATACATCTCAATGGTAGCCACTGTATGCCATTAGCTGTGCCTGAAGACCCCCATAAGGGCTTCCACATGCATTCTTGTTGGGGGCCTGTGTACTTTAATCCCTGAGTACAGGAAGCTGCCCGCTGACCAGGTACCCCACTTTGGACTGTCACAGGAATGAAAAAATGACTTCTACTGGTTTTCACACAGGTGTGTAGGACTGCTTATGACAGCACCAAGCAGAACTTTGTAAAAAGTTCCTCTCTGAATGTCACAGAAATCTCCAGGCTGGGGATAGAAACAAAGCTTGTGGAAAGAATGTGCAAAAAGAAGCTACAGACCCCTCTAAGATGTTCCCCAAAGGCCTCTGTGTTAAAGCCTTGCTTCCTAGCTTGGAGCTACTGGAAGGTAGTTAAGCCTTTGGGAGTTGGGGGTAGGGAGAGGTGTTAGGCTACTGGAGAACTGTCATTGGATGGGGTTGTGAGACCTTGGCCTTGGCCTCTTCCTCTCTTGCTCCCTGGGCTCTGAGTGAGTGGTGTTGCTCCACCCTGCTGTGCTGTCTTGCTATAAACTTCAAATATAACAGGGCCAACTCATCATGGATGAGATCTTATGTAGTTCACATCTGTAATCTCAGCACTTGAGAGGCTGAGGCAGGGGGATTGTACTAAGGGCTGTTTTGCAGCTTAGGTCTGTGATGGAACATACCAGAATGCAACCTCTCTATATTATCAGGGTAGGAGCCAGACTCTCCCTTTAATACTGTAAATTTTAATAACTACCAGAATGCAACCTCTCTATATTATCAGGGTAGGAGCCAGACTCTCCCTGTAATACTGTAAATAATAATAACAACAACACATATTTACAGCATAAGGGTACATATAAAATACACAATATCATCAACCGTTTACACACATGGATCATATAAAATACAATGCTGTCAACATTATGTTTACTTATGCATGTGAATTCACAAAACAGCAGCTAGCATTTCCTGAGAACCTTGTTTGTACCAGGCATGCTGCTACAAGCCCTTTCATGGGTTATCTCACTGAGTCCCTTTAGAAATCCTACGAAGCGGCTTTTATCATCACTGTCATTTCAAGCAGATTGCAGTAAGAGAGGTCCAAAATCCCACAGCCTCATTTTGATGTATAATCACATAAAGGCTGATTCCAGACTCAGCTGTCATGGGGAGACTTTTGTGCTTTGGTGGGAAATTGCATTTTTTACCGGATTATGAGATTCTGAATGTAGGGGGGCAATTTTACAACTGTGCAAATTGTCAATGGATGATGGCAATGCAAAGCCATTTCTCTGCAGACACACAGACAATTTTAGACAGATTTTGTAGGTGGAGAACAGTCAGTCCCACTGGATGGCAAGCTTGTGTTTATTAGCAACTATGATTCAACATTTTTTCTCTGGTTTTCTTTATAGCTGGTGATAACACCTGTCTGTTTTCCTCATTTAATTATGAACTAAATAAGATCTTTATTGGGTGCTTATTTTCTATCAGTATGAGAGTCATGATTTTTGTCTTTTTGTTTTTTTTAATTTTCCTTTAACAATGTTTTGCTTGCTTGCTCGTTTTTTGTTTTTTTTTTAATAGTTTAATTTTTTTTAAAATTGCTTGCTTGCTCGTTTTTTGTTTTTTTTTTAATAGTTTAATTTTTTTTTTTTTAAATCCTAATTTGCGTGTGCACACTGAGGTCAGAGAAAAACTTGCAGGCATGAATCAGTTCCTTTTCCACCTTGTGAGTCTTGGAGATTGAACTCAGGTAGTCAGGCTTAGCAGCATGTGCCTTTGCCTGTTGGCTTCTTCTCTGAGACAGAGGCTCATGTAGCCTAGCCTTGCCTCTAATTCATAGCAAATTGTTTTTGTCTTCCTGGGGTCGAGTGGGGTAGTGTGAACATATAGGGCCATCTGTTTGGTGATCTAGGTTTCTAAATGAGAGCATTTTCAAATAGTTCTCAGAAGGACAGTTTTGCCTTTTATGGCCCAGATAGTCTGATAAAGGTAGCCAAATAAGTGACACTGTAACCCATAAAACAATGTACACCGAATGCCCACAGTTAGCAGAAACACAAGCCATTCGTCTTCACTGGGTTGAATAAAGGCACCGGCTAGTGAGGGATCTCAGATCTGGGAGTGAGATTGTCAAAGGGAGGGAAAGGGCCTGGCAGGCAAACACCAGAGCAGCCTTTTCTGCCATGAGGAGGGTTAGTGAGGGCTTTTGATATTCTCAGTCTTCTAGACTGGGTGGAGTAACAGGTCAGCATAGGGCAGAGAGGAAACTGTAAGTAGTTAGAGACAACATCAAGCTGTACAGCATGGGAGACCTTAGCATAGGTTTCGGGGTGAGAAAACTCATTTTTGTGCCTCTTCATGGTTGTTTTTTCCATTCTAAGGAAACATAATACCACCAAACAATGCCATTCAAATGACCCATGTGAATGTACCTTGCTCTCACTCTCATTGGACAGAATTTCCAGGGCTTCCAGGTGTGACAAACCTTGATATTCATCAAAAAGCATCCCATAGTGTGCAGTCCTCTCCACTGTGAGCTGCTGTGCCAACCTCTGCTTCTCCTTCTCCTTGGCCTCTCTCAACATCTGCAGAGACACAATGTTCATGTACTAGACAGATCTTTCCATGTTGCCTTCCTGTGCAAGATACAGAGCTGATTAGGAAGACAGACATTATCTGAAAAAAAAATCACCTTTGTTGCTTGGAATTTCTCAAAATTCTTTGTAAATAGGTGGCAGTAGGTTCTCCTCCCTGACCTCACTAGCTCTGGGTGGTCGGGTTGGTTTCCAGTACTAGGTTTAATTTCCCTCGTGTTGAGAGGCCATTATGTCCAATTAGAAAGCTGTTTGTTACTGCCTAGATATATGTGCCACTATTACACCCTTCCCCATGCAGATCATTGTTTTAGTTCATAGGCATCATAGCTTGGTCAGGACTATGAGTTGCTCTTGTTCCTTGGAAGCTTTCATGGTGCCTTCTGATACCATAAAAACTAGTCCCCAGGGTGGAGTTTTCCAGGTCCCCGTGAAGTCTAATGACCATGGCTGCCTAAACAAGTCTGGAACAAAGGCTGTTAACAACAATAGGCATGCTAATGTGAAATGTGGTGGAGAGTGTGGGGGTGGGGGAGATGGAGGGTGGGGACGACAACACTCATGGGTCCTCAAAAAACTATAGGTAACTAAGGAAGGCTGAGAATGGGAGAAATAGTCTTCCCCAGGGAAGAGCCCCCAAATTAGTTACCCAGTACCAAATGGTCAACCTGAAAATATATGCATACATGCAACTTTATAGACTAAGCAGGTTGTTTATATATTTAGAAGTTGTATATATACATATATGTATATACACACATATATATGTTACAGTATTAAGAAAATACACGCGCACACACACACACACACACACACACACACACACACACACACACAAGTTAAGGAAATAGAGGCCATGAATTTGACAGAGAGCAAGGGGGAAGGGTTCGAGGGAGGAAAAGGAAGGGGAAGAACGATGTAATTATATTTCATTTAAAAACACATTTTAGAGGAATATAAAATAGATACTAGATTGATGCTGTTTATTAATGTTTACATATTCTGTTTCATTTGCTTGGCTGAGCCAAGCGTCAAGGCATCTGTGCCTAGGCATAAGAGTGAAAGGAAACACACAAAGGCTTCCTCTGCTGCCCACTGAAGTCTTTCCCACATACGGTTCATTCTTTTCTAAAGCATCTAGATTTTCCAGACTCACAGTCTTCAATGCACTGGATATATCAAATGAAGACATGACTGCTCCAAGGGATGGCTGAAGAGGTTTTTATTGTAGATATGAGAGAGAGAGAGAGCGAGAGAGAGAGAGAGAGAGAGAGAGAGCGAGAGAGAGAGAGAGAGAGAGAGAGAGCGAGAGAGAGAGAGAGAGAGAGAGAGAGAGAGAGAGAGAGAACAGCCAGGGGCATGTGGAAGAGTCCAGAGCAGGGAGACGAGTGGTAGACTAAACTTGGCTAGTAGACTGAACCCAGCCAAGAGAGGAGAGCGAGAGAGGAAGGGAAGAGAGAGAGAGAGAGCAAAGAGGAGAGAGGACCAAGAGTCAAGAGCTAAGAGAGAACCAAGAGGGAGAGGAGACCAAGAGCGAGGAAGCACAGAGAGCATGGTAGAAATGGCAGGGTTATGGGAATGAGAAGCTGGAGGAAGGGGAGCCCACAGGCTGCAGAAGTTTAGCGTAAGGGGTGGGGTGGGAGGGTGAGAAGAGCTGACAGGAGCCATAGGTACTGTGTGAGCCTGGAGGCCAGCATGCACTTTGATATGCTAATAGACACCACAGTTAGTGATTTGTCTTATGGACCTGACACTAGGAAAGGCCAATTCTTTGTGACCTTATTGAGAATTCTGCATCCAGGCAGATTTCAAAACAGAAAGAAGCGGGTTTGATTTCCTCTGTTACATTCTTAAAGTTTTCCATGAGACATCTTCAGTGAAAAGAGTTAATAAATGTAAATTCATGATGCATTCATCAGAGGACACTGACTAAAATTGACTTGTAGATGCTTGGGCTGGGTTTCTGTTCACATTAATAACCTCTGTCTTTCCTTCCTCCCTTCTCTTTTCTTCTTTCTTCTCCTCTCCCTTCATCCCCCCTTCTTTCACCTATATTTGCAGCACTAGGGATGGAACCCAGGCCTTGTATATATGAAGAAAGAGAAACACGCCCCCCTTCTCAAGCTCCTCAAGCTATTTTGTTGTTTAAATACAAAGACGACAGAATGGACATGAGCCTACCCATTATTAACAACATTCTGCACTTGCTTACTTTGATGCTAGGCCTCTTTTATTTGATATCTCATTAAGTTTACAAGGACATTAAGTTTATGGAGTCCTTTAATATCTGCAGAGAGCCCCATAAATACACGGGCCAATGCCACAAGGTCACAGGGGGAAGAACATCCAAGAATAGAGGCTGGGGTTTATTATGTGAATATAAAAGAGGCAACCATATTTTCCTTTTGGGTTCTTGAGGTTGTTTGCCAAGATCCCATCAGGCTATGGAAGAAATTCTCTCTCCTGTCTATCTTGAAGACTAAATTAGTAAGGCTCTGACTTTTAACATTTTCAAAAATAACCCAATGAAACCATCACTGGGAAGGTTTAACACTTGTAATAAAACTCAGATGTCACCCTGACCTCAGGGCATTGGGAGGGGGGTCATCCTTCTGGCATCAGCTAACATCACCCAGAGGACTCCCCACGACCCTCGCCAAGCTCCTTAGGCAGTAAGTATGGCAAACATCACCCAGAGGACTCCCCACGACCCTCGCCAAGCTCCTTAGGCAGTATGGCAGTCTGGCACACTGCCACCCGGTCCCCCCTTTGATCCTCTTTCACTGGATTCTGACATGAACCTGCTCTGATCGTCCATCCTCCCAGGCTTTAGAAGTTCATGATCTACTTTTGTGAGGAACAAGACTGATCCACGTGCCAAATGGCTTCTCTGGCCTACTCCCCCTTCCACACACTCTCTTTTCACCATGGTAACCACGGTGACCCCTTCAAAACCCAGGTCAGTTCCCATCATCCCTCCAAATGCTGCAGCAGTTTCCCCAGCTCATCGACAGCCCTGCAAGTGCCTCCCCCCATGACATGCCAACATCTGCAGCCATCACCACTCTGCTCTCATCTTTGACAACTCTCATCGTGGTTCACTCTTTCAACATGTAGCATTCTTGCTGGTCCTTGTGGGTGCTGGGTAACACATTTCCATGTGCAGTGTAGCCTTCTAAGTGTGGCTAGCATGCAGCTGTGACAAAATCATGAATGTGTCACAAAAATTATGGTAGTTTGGGAAATTAACTCAGGTCCCCTCTTCATTTTACAACAAAAGTAGCTAGAATTTTCCAGTTTTTAGACTCAGTCTTTCTCTCCATCATTTTACCTAGAATAAAAGAGCATCATCCTTTTACCTAGCATAAAAGTTATATATGTATGTACACATACATGTCTTTATCAGGTTCTGTTCTAGCTCATGTAATCATCAGAGCGAAGTTATCAGGAGGTATTGCTGTCACCTCATTCCAGCTTATCCAGGGGATAAGCTGAGGCACAGAGATGGAAAGTAAACCCACAATGTTGTATAGATGATAAGCGACAGAACTGAGGTACTGAAAGGGGCATACATGGAAAAATCTTCAACAGATTACTAAATGAGTAATGTATGAAAGTGTGATCAATATGGTGCTGTTTGGCTGGAGTGTGTGTGTACATATTCTTATACCCAAATGCATGCATATTCTTATACCCAAATGCTTATTTATCACTATGTCTGTAAGATAACCAACAGCGTGCATAAGGGACCATTAACAGTGCTTGCCTCCCACGAGATTTTCAGTGGACCGTGTCAGAAAGTTAGCTTTCTTCCTACTTTTTGTGCCACTTGCTTTGACTTTATTGGCTGAAAGGAGAAAAATCAATGAAGGATTCTAGTTCAACCTGGGACAAGGAAACGGTTCTCTCCATCAGTGTCTTCGTCCGCTTAAACCCTGGGTCACTTTCTGCGAGGACATTCATGGTTTTCTTTCCAATGAATTCCAGAGCATCCAGACCTCCGCTTAAGACACTTTTGCCCTGCAAATGAGAAAAACACATGCAATTAGATTTTTCTACAGCCTGCTGTTTTGCACTGGCCCGCAGTTCCCATGTACCCGGCACTCTCTTCAAATATTAAAATCAATAGAAAGCCACAAGTTTTTCACACCATGACATTGATCATCTATTTAAATCCTGTTTGCTTTTTCTTGAAAAACTGTACATTGTATAATTTGTAGGACATGAGGTGTTATTAAAAATGATGCACATTCGGGATTCATGTCAGTGGCTCTGAGCATATCAAGAGATATGAATCTAAGACATAAAGTTATGGATGACCCAATTGCCATGTTCGTTTGAAAGAATTTTAGCATAAGTAACAGAATTATTTGGGGTGGGTTATTAAAATGTCAAATACTCAGGCTTATTTAGATGATTTTTAATGCAGGGCCCTGAAGCAGCAGACCCTCAGGCTGTTTCAGATGGCTCTTTCGTACTTTCAGAAACTGAAGAACACCAAATATAATTAGTACATTAATGAAGTAAGACAGCTTGCTCTCCATGTACTTCTAGCTGTAGAAACTATTCTATTAGCCAGGTATCAATCAGGAAAAATCCCTTTGCCAGCCATTGTTTTCCTTTTAACGGAAATTGAAACAACAGAGACCCATGCACACTGCTCAAATGAACAGACCTGCCTTGCTTTGAAGACCCTAGACAGAATTCCAACAATACAACTCTAACTACAATCTGCAAACAACTATTTTTTCTCACCTTACATGAAAATGTCATCTCTATGTGTTTTCAATCTTCATAATTACTTAAATGGCAGTTTTCAGCCTTGCTGAATAGATATACTTTATCAGACATTTCCACTTTCGGCATTTGGAATTTGTTTTCAAATCTGGCACCAAATCAATACTCATGCTACAGAACAGACTTGTAAAAGCAGACACTTTGAAGGATTCTATGGCTTCAATATAAAGTGTTCCTCAGCTACTAGTGTTATTTTAGGAAGTTCTAGAAACTTAAGGAGGTGGAGGCCAGTTGGAGGACGTGGGCCACTGGGGCGTGTACCTTAAATTTTATATCTGGTTCTCAGTCCCTCCTCTTTCTCTGCACCCGGGCTGCCAGAGGCAAAGAGCCCCCTGCTTACGTAATCCCACCACCATGACATTCAAGCACACGAAGCCAAACAACCATGGCTTAAAGCCTCTCAAACCATGAGCAAAACAAACCTTCTTCCCTGAGTTATTTCCCTGTGTTATTGTCCCAGCAATGATAAAAGCAAAGCATACAAAGGATGATGGGATTCTCAGCAGCTATACTTTTGCAAACTTCAATTTACAGGTCCCCAATATCCTGCCACTTCCATAGAGAATAAAGTGAGAACAGGAAGTATCTGTTCACTGTTGGACAAGGGCAAGCCTGCAGATGGGGTGGGACTGTGGGAAGGAAGCCAAGCAGGTTCAGAACACAGAAAGGGAGCTGGGGATGTGGATGGTGCTTTCAGGAGTGGATTGCTCAGGGCTGGCAAGATAGTTCCATGGAAACAGGCAATTACTGCATGAACCTGATGACCTGAGTTCCATCCCCGGAACCCACATAAAGAGGAAGGAGAGAACTGACTCCACAGAGTTGTCCTCTCATGTTCATATGAGCACCAGGGTACAGGTGCCCCTCCCCCATCATATGCACACACAATAATGCAAAAATTTTTAATTAAAAAAGGGAGGTGACAAGCTATGAGTTCATTTTTTACTCCAGAGTTACTGAGTGAGCTTCCTCCACTCCCATGGGTGCCTTTGAACTGCTTTGCTGTGTGACTACTAAAACATCTTGGTATGCCTCTTCTTCCTGCCCAGTCTAGGGGCCTTCAAGGAGCAAGTACAGGACAGTCATTTTCTTTATTCCTGCCATACTTTCACCCCAATGTATGGGTCAGATCACTTACCCTGTTCATCTACAATCCCTTCTCTCCCATGGTGCACTGCACTCCATTGTTGAATTGACTTAATATGGAAAATCTGGCCAGAGTCTGGTGAGGTTCCTGTTACACAGTGAGGACAATTGTCTCTCTTCAAAATCACAACTGATTAAATGACTAAAAAGGGACATGAGCCATATTTCGAGAAAATCTAGTTAGTTTGTTCTAGAGAGTAGACTGAATCTTTTCTTCTTGGCTCTGAGGACCAGCTAGCTCCCTCATCTCACTTGGGGTACCTCCGTTTCCTTTTAACACTCATCACTGTTTTGTTGTCAATAGGATAACAAGCTTCCTTTGAGTGAGATGGTTATGCATCTGTCTTTAAAACAATCCACTTAACATAAATGAAAATGAATAAAAAGGAAGGGTAGGACTTGCAGGGATACATTTAGGGCTCTGCAAGGAAGGGCACAGAAGGCATTGCAGCGATATGGCAGGGTAGGTCTCTGGACTATTCCTCTTGTCAGTGACATACTTTGTATGTAGACAGTTTCATATTTTTAAGAACATTGAGATAGGATCCAGGAAGAAGAGCTGTCCTGGCTCTGAGTTCCTCCCCCACCCAGAGGTTGTCCTTGCAGCGGCTGAAAAGGACACTGTTAAATCAGATTGAAAAAAAAAATAATGTCCCTTCTAAACCATGCTTTTCTATTAAACACAAGCCACATTTCATCTTGCCATTATTTTATCAGAACCAAGGTCACACCTACTCTGTAGCAAAAAGCATAACAAACCGTAATCCAAAGTTATGAGCAAGGCTGCCTTTTCTCTGATGTATCTGGGTCACGAGATGGAGAGATCAAAAGAAGTGAGCCACCAGGGGAAACAGGAAGCAGCTAGGGACTCACCGTGTTTTGAACCACGTTGGTGAGGGCTGACAGCATGCCCCTCGACCCTGCTGCCCCTGGCGGAGGAGAAGTGTGGGGGCCCCCGGCAGGGTCCTGATCTGGAGTCACATCTGTCATGGTAAGAGAGAACACCCCTGTTAGAATGTGGTTTGCTGATCTGAATGTGGGCTCTTTCCCACCGTGTAATTGTGCACATAGTGTAATAAAACTGAACATGAGGTGAACACGCCACTCACTTTCAGAAAATGCATTTTCGGCATCAGTTGGTACCCCTTCAGGAGATCCAGAATTGACACTGTGGATTCGCAGGGTTGCCCCAGCCTTTTCCTTGACTGCAGTTAACCCATGACCTGTAGGTAAATAAATATATAGTTCACAGATATATTATAAGCCCACACAATCTGTAACCCCTGGGCTGATCACACAAAACCATCTGGCCTTGTGGGCGTCCACCCTGAATAAAACAAAATGCTCAACAGCAGGGCATTTACATCCCCTGGGGTAGGGCCCAAAGATGAACTCAACTTGGTCAAGGCTGAGTGACCTGAAAGAAGCCACCTTCCTTTTGTGACTCAGTTTCCTTCCTATGTTTCCAGACCCTCTGCCTTCTGCTTTTCACACTGGCTGTTTGCACACTGAGATTCTAAACTCAAGCCAGCATCTTTGAATGACATGGCTGTCTTATCTTCCTCATGCTTTTTTAAGTGTGATATGGCTGATATGTCATTTGTTTTGTTGTTGTTTGTTTATTTTTTGAAGTCCTAGCACATTGCAGGTACTCAGTTAACACTGGCTGAATTGAAGTCAGATGAGCTTCAATACATTTCTGTGTATGAACCTAGACATGGTGGCGGCACATGTCTGTGATCCCAACACTCAGGAGTCTGAAGCAGGAGGGTGCAAGTTTGAGGCTAGCCTGGTCTACATAGCATGATAGGCCAGTGTGAGCAACTTAGCAAGATCCTGTCTCAAAACAAAACAAACAAAATAAATAAAGCCTCAAAAATCAAAACAAACACACAATTACTGCATTTCCTTAAAAGTGCACCATGAAAAGTCTTGGGCTAACCTGGACTCTAAATCTAAAATGTCACTCAGTGGGAAAAATCAGGAAGCAGTAACAGTCCAAACCAGACTGAAGGTCACTGGTTTTACTCCACTGGACAGGAAACACCTGTGTTTCCAAGAAGGGACTGTCCTTTATTTCCAAGACACTGGCACAGTTATGATTCAGTAAGTTCTTGATGAGTGAGTATAGAGCACTGAGCAAAAACCAACCCTGACTCGATAGAAAAAAGTCTTGTCTCCATTTCATTCAAAGACAGTGGGACATCCTCCACTAAGATGGGTTATAGCCTTTCTGTATTTCCAGACAGGATGAAGCAATCAAAACATGGGTAGCTCACTGGGGTCCTCATAGGTATTGGAGAAGGAAAAACAGCCTGTGCTATCTCCATCTGGGTGCCTGCCCCCTGCTTTGATATGCAAGAAGAAAGGAAGGAAATCTTCAGAGACCTTGGGTTGTTCAAACATAAGGCAGTGATAATCATAACACCTAGGGGCAAAGTGCCAAGTCAGAGCTAAACAGAACCAGTCAAAATTACAAAGCACTGTTCAAATGACTGTTTATCCATCTCCAGAGTTAGAGGAAGAAACAGATGAATACAAAGAATGTATTTTGAACCTGATGTCAATGCCTACAACCCAAGTAAAAATCTGGGGTGGGATGTGTGTGTGTGTGTGTGTGTGTGGCATGAGCTGTAGTCCCAGAACTAGGGAGGGAGAGACAGGTGGATCCCTGGGGCCTGATGTCCAGACATTCTAATTGAATCAGTAAATTTCAGGCCATGTGAGTCAAACTGTCCCAAAAGGCAATGTGGACAGCATCCTGAGGAGTGGTATCTGAGGCTAATTCTGGCCTCTGCACACACTCACATATGCACACCCACATACAAACGCATCATACAAACAAAATGTTATTTTAACAATTATAACCTGATTTATCAAAGCAACCTCAACACAAGGCAATGATATTCACTGGTCCGTTTCAATGAAAATTATTTGTCATCATATATTACCTACAAATGCTGAAAGCCTAGGAAACATGATTTACAACTTTAATTACAATAGAAATATGGGCCTACACTCATGCAGATAATTAAACACAGCTCAAACTCATTACTGAGTTACTTAAAAAAAAAAAAACACAAACTGTTAAGCCTAAGACTTAATTATAAGCTTTCAATCTGGCTTGAATTAATTCTTTCTAGCCTCCAATGAATTCCAAACATTTCAATAGAATTTCACTGAAATTTCAGCATTTAAGTCATTGACTTCAGGTTGTTGTTTTCTTTTTTAAACGAAACAAAAACCTACGAATTTTCCAAAAGGAAAATCTCCACCCATGATTCACAGCTATAGATTTCTGAGAGCCAAAATCAGAGCAAGTGAGCTTCAGAGGCTGGGAGCACAGCCTGCTCTGAGTTCAGTTAGCCTTACATTCATCATTATCCCTTTGACCCTCTCCATTCTTGGCAGGTTAGACTTTTGTCTGTTTCTTTCTTTTTTTTTTTTTTTTTTTTTTTTTTTTTTTTTTTTTTTTTTCTGAGACTGGGTTTCTCTGTGTAGCTTTGGTGCCTATCCTGGCATTCGCTCTGGAGACCAGGCTGGCCTCGAACTCACAGAGATCCGCCTGCCTCTGCCTCATGAGTGCTGGGATTAAAGGCGTGCACTACCAACGCCCAGCTTCTTGTCTGTTTCATTGTTTGGAAGAACAGCTTCTCACCATCTCAGAACACAAAGGACTATCAGTTTGTAGTCCCGGAACTTGGGAGGCAGAGGTAGGAGGATCAGGAGTTCAAGACCAGCCTCAACTACCTAACAAGTTCAAAGCATGCCTGGGCTCCATGAGACATTGTCTCAAACAACACAAAAAGACAAGGGGGAAGCCTTACAAATGACAACATAGAAGTGTACATAAACTGTCTGTAGAAAAATCCTTTTTTATTATGGAATGAAACAGTTTTTAAGGTGCATGTAAGTAAGATATATTTATATTTAATGGAACAGGAAGCCAGGAAACTGCTGTTTTCTGATTAACAGTTCTAATTTTTTGTGAGTAAAAAAAAATATTTCTGGATTCTACTAGAAATTAAAAGTTAAGCTTACATTTACCTAAAAGCTGTAAATTTTTTTATAGGTAAAGTAGGTATTGCCACACCCTATGTAGTCAAGTCACTTCTAAAGCTTGACTTAGTGTGACATCTAGTGCCCAGAGTAAGGAAATCATAACAGAGCCACCAGCACTTTGATGACTCTGTTTCCAGAGACAGTGGATGTATTCTATCAGCAAGAGAAAGACAACCAACTCTCGTGACACGACTTAGTGTAGTTTGTGGATTAACTTCTGAGGCTGGGGCTGGAGCTGGTTTTCATACTGCAGTAGAAAGTGAATGCTGGAAAGCAAAACAAACAACTAAAGCAAAACCAGAAAAACAATAAACCCAAATCAAAATAAGACTGTCACAGGACAGCATCATTTATTAACCTTCAATGGTCAGCTGGTATTTTAGCCACCTACACTTTCGCTCTAAAGAAAAGCAGTCTACACCGAAGTCAAGCCAGGAACTTCGGTTACACCCTTTCTCGGTTGTGTGATGTTAAGTAATTCATCTCTCGTGTTTCTGCTGCACTGCTTTCTCTGCCAGGAGAATTACAATATGTACTTTCTAGTGATGTGCTAAATCTCTCCACTGTGGGCATTACTTGATCCTGTAGGATATTCTAGACACTGTGCTACAAAGTTTAGAATAGTAAATTATCTACTTTTCTTAACAGTGGTGTGTTAAGAGGTGGTGTTACAACCCTCCCATAACTGAGAAAACTGAGACCCGTCAAGATGACATCACCTACCAAAGGTCCCCGAGTTGGTAGGTGGGAGGTAGATTCAAACCCAGTCTGTCTGACACCAGAACCAATCTGTGTACTCATTACTTCATACTAAGGAAGTTTTGTGTTTGAGTCATTGTGGAGTGCCATTCTAACCTTGATTCTCTAACTCCTCGGAAGTCAGATCTTTGCTCAAGAACTTTCTCCTCTAAAACATTTTGATTTGAATTTGGCTTGCCTCACCGTGACCACAGAGCAAGGTAAAGTTCACCTTCACATTGTAATCCCACTCTAGCTACATTGTCCCAGCCATGCTTTGTAGGGCGAGGGCTTGTAGTCTGGAATCACCCCTGTGCTGTAAGATGTGGGGTTGCAGTTGGCTTGTGGCTGTGAGATTTGGGGTGATACCATACACCAGTTTCATTTCCTTCTTAAGTCCTCTTCTTGTTATAATAGCAGAATGTAGTTTTGTTGTTGTTGCTAGAAAAACATACAATTGAGGCTGTCATCCTCAACTAAAACAAACTAAATGCAATTTAAAAAAGATGCCCATCAATTTTCCTTCTGGAAAACTCTTCCCTCTCCCAAATGATGGCCAAAGTTCTCTATAGTCAAATGCTCACATATCCCCGTACCCTAGGTCAGGGTTAAGAGTAAGTGCTACTAAGCTGACAATGTTCTCATCAAAGTCCACCAGAAACCCACAAATCTTGTCCCTAATACAGAGATTACAAAGCACTTTGGGAAACAATAGCATTACTCCCATCACCCTTTTCATGAATGACCTGGTGATGGCTAGTCTTGGTTGTCAACTTGACTACATCTGGAATTAACTAAAACTCAAATGGTTGAGCATATCTTCCAAGGATTTTTTTTCTTAATTAAATCCTTTGACATTAGAAGGCTCACTTCTAATCCAGATCTTTTGAGGTGGGAAGATCTACCTTTTATCTGGGCCACAGCTTCTGCCAGCAGCCTACATAAAGGACATGGAAGAGGGAAGCTAGTTCATCTCTTCACCAGCATTAGAGCCTACTTCTTTGGGATTCAGAAGACCAGTTAAGACAACCAGCCTTGAGGACTAAACAACAACTAGATTCTTAGGCCTTCCATTGGTAGACAGCCATTGTTGGACTAGCAGGATCACAGTCTGTCAGCCATTCTAATAAATTTCCATATATATTCACATCCATTCTGAAAGTTCTGTTCCTCTAGAGAACCCTGGCTGATATAAGGGTCTCTAAAATTCCTAACACTTAGGAATTTTTACATCATCAGCATCACTTTGAGATAGATAGATAGATAGATAGATAGATAGATAGATAGATAGATAGATAAAGATTCCCTTGCAGTCAATGGCAATTTGTACAGAGGGGAGTTTTCATAGGAGCGCAATTTTGATGAGTTTGCCATTCTTTGTAATAAACACTGATGCTATCTGGATAGGTCTGATAGAAAGTGTCATCAGAATGTGAAAAACTGAAACTTAGGCAAGGATTCGAAAGAGAAGAACAGTGATTTTGAGAAAGGAAAAAACCTTAATATGATCAGATGTATTCTATCACCCAACCAGATAGATATTCTTGTGTTAGGTATTTAGAGTCCTAAAACTGTCACAACCCACTTTTCAAATAAACATTTAGGCCTTCAGAGGATGGAGTAATACATTACTCCATTCTGTAGGGGTTTGACTCTGAAATCTTTATGTCTTAGCACTGTCAGCTCTCATTTTCATGACTGGACCATTACTTTACTCTTAGCAATACATTCTAAAGGGAAGCCATGTCTATTATGTGCTTGTGGGAAGTCATTGCTGATTTTCATGATATTGCCTTGAAGTTATCAATATTATCATTTTTTGTCATTTTTCTGTGTTTTTGACATTTCCTCCCTTTGGTTTCTGTATGGAATGACAAAGATTTTTATTGCATTTTATGAATTTTCCCACAGACATGAATGGCAGGTGATTAAGTCTTCTTAGACTGTGACACATTTTGTCTGTGATGCAGATAACTTTTAAGAGGGAGGGTCCCCTGAAAAGAACTGTTGGCTGAGAAATGTTTGATTTCACATATACATTAGGACAGTCACTTCTTTTCATTTCCTTTTACCTTAGAGTCAAAGTAATAAGCCACAAGACAAGATAGAACAATGTAGAGGAGACAAACACCCATCAGTAGGCTGTTTCCATCCAGCACAATGGCTACTCATTTGTAATTCCTTCTATAGGTGGCTATGAGGTAGAAAGTGGGAAGGGACCTTAGGCTTTCTCAAGTTCCCCGGACCACTCTTTTTCAAATAGAGAACCCCTGTGTCTCAATGAGCACCTACAAAGTGTAGCAACTGAGCCACAGTGTCTTACTGTGTCTCAGCAGGTTAAAAGTACCCAAGACTGGGTCTCACATCCTAGCACCCCTGGATCAGTGTGCATTCCAAGAAAGCACCACCTTCCAAATGTTCCTATTCTCTGTTTGCTTTCCTGCCAACTCTCAATACTTACAAGGGTTGTACTGTTGTGTTTCTGCCTCTGTGAGCTTTGCTTGTGTTTCCAGTGCTGTTGGCAGCCCTATGTGAAGGACTATGTTTTGCTGCCTATCTGCAACTGAATCACCCTAGGGGTAACATGAAGCTTTGAGTGGAAATCAATCGCAGTTGAAGGCGGTTATTTTCTTCCTTTACTTTCTGCAGGCCATTTAAAAAGCTTCAAGAGTGTCTCTGTGGCTGTGAGTGTCCTGTTTTCTAATAAGTTTCTTTGCCCCACGATGATAAACTGTTAATGCTACAAAGCCCTGGGATTGACATTGTTTCTGAATGTCATGGAAGTTACCCCTCAACACCAATTTAGCAGCTCAGGCAGGAACCCATAACTTGAAACAAATGTGTTTTTCTATTTCTTAATCTTTAAAAATTTTTTTTACAATTTTACATATGTACACTTTTCATACTTACTGACTAACCTCACCTCCTATGTCCTACCATCCACCCGCCACCTTCCCCACAAATCTCTCACCCATTTTGTGTGTGTGTGTGTGTGTGTGTGTGTGTGTGTGTGTGTGTGTGTATCTCACTGACATTAACCAGGGCTGCCTGTGTGACCATGGCTTAGTCATCTTTTGGAGCCTGATGGGCTCAGCAGCATTGGAACCCATAACTTTACAGAATCCCTGTTCACAGATGGTCCCATTCCAACCTCCACTTCTGACCGTGATTTTCCAATATCTTTTGAGAATCCAACTCCTGACCACCACTTTCAGCCTTGGGACCCCTAGCACCATCTCCCCTCATGCTGGTTGTTTTTAGTTCTTGTGTTAGGTACAAAAAATTTTATCTATGTTTGAAGTATTATGGATTTTAGGATGGTTCAACATGCACCAATCAATCAACATGAATACAGCACACTGGGTGTGGTGGTGCACACATGTTATCCCAGCACTCAGGAGGCTGAGGCAGGAGAATCACAAGTTCAAGGACAGCCTAGACTACATAGTAAGACTCAATCTTAAAAATAAAAATCTATGTGTATATCCGTATTTATATATATGCATAAATATGTGTGTACCTATGCAGATATCTACATTTTAAATCCATACTTTAAGGGATAATAAAAGATAGTGGCTTAAAACTACCCCAAACAATACTGACTTGAACCCTGAAAACAGACTTCCCATGGGCAAATGTTAGACTCCATCAATATGAGCTATATCACCATCTCTTGTCCGTCAAGCTTCTGAACTCTGTTCTGGTGCAACACCCAACACTTACCTACTGTGGCTGATGCAGATGAGAGCAGAGATTTTCCCCAGGATCCCCAGCCTGCCCATCCTCCTGCCCGTGGTGGGGAGTCCACAGCCTGCAGGAGAACAAATTAGCAGCAGGTCAGATATTCACTTTGCCCCTGAATGGAAAAACATTCATTCAGAGAGGCAGAGAAGATTCCGGAACAAAAAAACCCACCAAATTAACCATATCTCTCGGACTTATAGTTTATATGGGCCATAAAAGAGTATCTTGACCCACACTGCAGTATGTACTTTGTAACCAAACTGAGTAATGGAGTTGTTGGCTCCTGTGGACTTGGCCCAATGTGAGAAGGGAGTTGTACTCCTCCTCCCATTCCATGAAAGACAGGGACAAGGACTGGCAGGGTTAAGGTGGGGTTAGGGGAGTGGAGGGGCCAGGGAAATGTAGCACATTAGAACACAAAA